AGAGACAGAGCATGAACGGGGGAGGGGCAGAGAGAGAGGGAGACACAGAATCGGAAACAGGCTCCAGGCTCTGAGCCATCCGCCCAGAGCCTGACGCGGGGCTCGAACTCCCGGACCGCGAGATCGTGACCTGGCTGAAGTCGGACGCTTAACCGACTGCGCCACCCAGGCGCCCCTAGTTGAGTAGTTTTAATAAAATCTCATTAAAAGGCAAAAAGCATGTTTATCAACCTCAGAGCAATTATTGCCCCAAAAGGCTGTATTCATTTAAAGCAGTGGATCTCCACCTGGCTGTATATTAGAATCACCAGGGGAGCTTTTAAAAAAGATCAATGCCAGGGCCCTGTGTCAGAGCAATAAAATCAGAATCTCTGGGGGTGGGTGCTGGACATTGGTATTTTTTGGGAGCTCTCTAAGTGATTCTGATATGCAGTTACGATTGAGTCATTGGTTTAAAACTTAGGTTATGTATGTAATATTTTGGGACTGGCTTTTCAGAGGCTTACAGTTTTTGAAAAGTAGAATGTTTTTTGGGGAGGTATTGAAGCCAAGAGACCCAAATACGAGTTTTATCTTCTCTATGCTGTGTTTCTGAGCCTTGTTGTGTAAGAATTTTGTTTCAGCCTGTGTTTGGCTTTGATTTCTTGGGTCTTTTAAGATTCGCATTGATTTATGATGCTCATCTGTGTAATGCTAACACAGTGACTGATGTTTGGAACAACCCGGAATGGGGATTGCTTCAATAGCAGTTGATGATGGCTGTCCACTAGAGTGACTTAATTTAATATTAAGAGATTTATCAGTTTAGTACAGATTGTGTTTGCACATATACTCTATTAAAAGAGTATGGTTATGTTGCTTATATAGTTTAAATTCCATACTTGACATCCCAGTAACACTGTTTACCAGAGAATTGAGTTAAATGCAGCCTTTATGTAAATGCTGGGTTAATAATTTGTAAGGTATATAATTTAACACGAAGAAAAACTCAGCTTTACTATTTTTACTAA